CCACTTCACCAGAGCTCTAGAGGACCACGCTGCAGGGATTGGTGCAATGCTGACACACAGATGAAGGGGTTGGGCCTGCAGGAAGAGAGTAGCATGTGGAAACCCTACCTTTCTGAGCAGTCATACTGTTTAAGGCTCTCCAAGCAGTGCAAAGGGATAGTCCTGCCCAGCATAGACCACCCTATGCCTTATCTTGCTTGTTTCAAAAGACATGTATCTTTTTGAGACACATGGATTGCAGGACCTCCCTTGTGTAGATCTGGAGCTGTGCTGTCATCTTTGCACTTGCAAAATTTAGGATGAGCCAAATTCACTGAAACAGAGGTCTGAAAGAACCAAGAGTTACCTTCAAGGGACACAAGTGGATTTAAAAACGCGAGTGAAGTTTGGGGTAGTCATGCTTCCAACTTCCCTATCGTTATGTTTTCATTCCCCGCACGTTGTATTTGGGCACTATGCTTTTCATGCTACTGAAACCTAATTGTGTTTTCAGAAAATACAAAAAAATTCCACATGCTCAGAGTGGTGAGCATCAGTGTTCTTTAATTCGTGGGTTTGCTGTCTCCCTGATGGCCCGCTTCTCTTGATTAGGTCTTTTCCCTTACCCTGCTCACCTTTTGGACCCTTTTCTATTTGTCTTGTTCCCATTATTATGCACTTGTTCACTCTACTCACAAGAGCTCACTGCTGCAGGGTTTCTGCTCCCCCCTTCAGCTGCTTTATTTACTACCTCTATTTGCAAGGAGTTTGCCCACCTTAGCATACGCTCTACACTTGCTCAGCCTCTGTAGTGGCAGGAACACAGAGCTCATCCTTCTTGGGCATGGGTGGGTTTTAAACTTGTAGAAAAACCAACAACTTCCCTTTGTTCTGTTGGTTCTTTGGAAAGAGTTAACTAATAATCCTTATTCCATCAGGATCATGTAAATTCCTTGTTCTATCTTGACCAGGACGCTTGAAATACAGGCAAATACAGAACTTTCAGGGAACTTTGTCATTTCTCTGTGCTCTAGGACTTGGTGATACTGCTGACTGGGACACTGCTACTTGAGCGGTACCAGGTTAAGCAGAGATGTGAGAATCTGGATGGCAGTAAGGCTGTCATTGCATTTCTCCTGCCCAGATGAAGCATGAATGCTTCCTGCTCTGGGGCAAAGGAGGAACACAAGTTTAGCTGTGACTGTCTGATCAGTGCATTTTGCACTCTTTGAATTCCTATTGTCTGTATGTTTAGGGCTGAACAGCTTCACATACTCACATACACATACTGCTTCACAAAAGCAGCCCTTTGCTAACATTCTCTCCCCCCTCTAAGAGTCTAAGTGTGATGGTCAGGTTGTGGTTTCACAGTGCAGCATTGTGTGGCAGCGGCAGCTTTAGGGATGAGGACTTTGCCTGTGCACTCCCTGGCCCTAGCCCAGCATCTTCATTTCTAGTGTTTGCAAGTTGTGCTGTGAACTACAGTGGAACTTAAAAAACTGTGGAACAAGTGACGTACACCATGAACCAGCCCTATTCCAGGCTTGCTTTGCATCTCACTTCAGCAGATACTCCTTCAGCTCAAATGTGGCTTTTGGCTCAGTTCAGATAATAAATCACATTAATTTATTGTAAATGCGTTATCAATAAACAAGTGCAATGAGTGAAACATACCAGGTATGGCCTAGGTTTTGAAAGAAAGAATATCAAAGGGAGAAGTAAACACCAATAGAGTATGTGTTTGCAATGAGATTAGGAACAGAGGTTGAGGGAGGCTGCAAAAACAGAACCCGTCTGTCTTTTCTGTGACAGAGGAAAAACCATGATGAATTTCATGCAGTAAATGTAACTCAACAGTCAAGTATTTTTATGATAATACAGTACATGCAAACCCACAAACATGCTGCTGCTCAGATTCCAAATGCAGAACAGCTCTGACTTGTACACTGAATTTCTGTAACAGCAATTACTGGCGTAATTACCTGCTCCGTCCCTTGGCAAATCAGGACCTTCCCGAGGAGTTTTTTGAAGTGTGTCCAGTGTTTGCATTCGGCATGCTTCCACACGCACAGCACAGGCTCTGCTGCCCACAGAGGTTACAAAGTACATTCAGTTCCACCTTACGCTTGTGCCTGCTACCTCCTGCATTTTTGCAGCGATCGTGCTTTCCAATATTCAGACAGAAACACTGGCAGAATGATAGAAGAAGCAAATTACAGAATTAACTCAGTTCACAGGGGCTGTTGGCATCACAGGTGCTGGTAGGCAGCTGGCAGGCATGCACTCCATAGCTAATTTTTTTTTCCTAAAAGAATGAGTGTGCTATATGAGTACAGGTCACCTCCTGTTCCCATCCACCTCAGGTCTGACTGCAATCATCAGAATACAAATGGAGACCAAGAAAGTGACTTTCAAAACCACATTTAAATTAAGACCTGAAGACTGAAGAGCAGCGTCTGCAGAACATTCTTTTTGCATAAATGCATTATGTGGGTGCAAGGGTATCATTAAATTATTTAGAATGACATCTTCCTCTGGAAATTACCCCTAATAAGTGTTCAATATGGGTGAAAGTTCATAGAAACTTTGGAAGTAAACCGGTTACTTTTAAAACTGGCTGGAGAGCTCAGCATGAACAGTTCAAGAGCCTGCTGTGTGACAGGATTAAGCATGCATGGTTTCACTTCCAGTTGGACTAAAGATGAAAAACTCCAACTTCCTGTGCTCTCTTGAAAGATGGCAAGGAATGCTCTTAAAGCACTCCTTGCCATGTCAGGCAGATTCCTGCTGTCTGCTGTGAGGGACAAGAGCTCATGCCTTGGAAAGAGAGGCTGGTTCTTTCTGTGTTACCTGAACATTTCCAGCAGAGTAATATTCCTTAAGGAGATGGATAGGCCTTGGATATGCAACAATTGCAGCTCTGTCCCCAGTAAACAGCAAATATTATCTGTGGGGTCTCAAAGATCTCAGACCTTTTAATTACATGGATTTCACAGAAAACATTTTTATCGGTCAAGTGATCAATGCCAGCAAAAGGTGATTTTTTTCCCATGATGTTTCTTTTAGATACTGAAAAATATTGAGGACTGAAGTTTACTAAGACACATTTTTCTTGCACCTAAACAGCTAAAAATATCCAAAGTGGATACAACCTAACAATCTGCTCCCTTCCAAGATGACTTTTAGAATTAGCATTTTTCACAGACCTCTCTTGCTAGGCAAGTAAATGCACAGGGAAGCACAGGACTCACTCACATGCTTTACAGTCCTGCATCCATTTCTGAAGCATCTCAACCTCCAGCTGGAAGATCCTCTGTACTACTGAACAGGCTTTGAGCAGAGTCACTGGAAGTTTCCTGCCATCTCCATGTGCAGCACAGTCCTGTCTGGTGAAAGAAAGGGAGCACCTAGAAACCACGGCTGTGGGCTCAGGTCTGTCCAGAGGAAAGAATGTGCAAGACCTGGAGTTCAGTGACACCTTATTCCTCTTTCTCCATGGCTGAGGCCTCTCATGAGCCATGTAAGGAGCCCTAAACCTATAAGGCAAGCTTTACTTGCATTGTCACTTTAACCTGGTACCTGCGGCTGTGCTGCTGAGTCACCCTGCCTATCTCTACCCTCATTTATTCCTGTCCCTCTCTTATGCTGGAGCAAGCATTTTTCTAGCTCTGTAGTAGGTTATCTGTATGAAAACTAATGTAATTTCTTAGTTTTGCTTACTGCATCAGCATTGGTACTTGTGCCAGGACAAGCAGAATGCTTTCCTACCAGCACTGCTGTTTATCCATGCTGCAGCATTGCACCGTGATTCTACTTCCCACAAATTCAAAGTAATTCCAGAAAGTAAGGGTGGAAATGCTCTAAATACAGTTCTGTATCACTGAGGAGGCTGGGATAGCCTATAATCAGGGTAGTCCTGCATCTACAGGACATTCACAGCACTTGTAACACATTAAAATAGGAGGTTTGTATATGGTTGTTCATAAACTGCCAATTCATTCTGGCTTGCTGTGTGCTGCTCATTTATGCAGACAGACCCAAAGCTGTCTGTGTGGAACAGGGCCAAAAGACTTTCTGCTAGAAAACAAAGAATATAAAAAAAAGTACTTATCAGTGGTTTAACCCTTCTCTTCAAAAAATACCTTGAATATAGGGCTGGAGAATATGCTCATGCAGACTAGTGAAGGGTGGAGAGATCTCACTATGCATTTAGGTAGTCTTCCATAGGGGTGCTGGAGCAATACCTGCATCTTCACAGAGCTGCAGTTCTGGTGGCACATCCAGACATCCCCTCCAGACAAGATTCTCCTCTACCACAAATTATCCCCCACACCGAATGAAGAACAAAAGCAGCTATTTTTAGTTTCTGTCATTCCATCTCCCCAAAGATAATGAGAGCTGTGCTGATGTCATCTCTGATGGCAGCAATCAACACCAGACCTGAAGGTCACTGCTGTTAGGCCAACCCAGCTATTTCAATTCAACACCATCTGAAATTGCAGGGAACAGCATCAGTATTTACCTGGTCAGAAGAGGTGCTGGAAGAGACATGACAGTGTTTTTCACAGAGCAAAAGAGAAAGAGATAAAAGTCTGGCAACAGTTTCCATTATGTACTACAGGAATGTTTTCATACGTTAAAGATGCCAGTAAGAATGATATTTTCTACACATCTAGGTCAAAATTTAAATTCTCACAGACAGGGTAAAAGTTCTGAAGAAAGGGTTTTTCATGACCCTGAAAACCCTCACATTTCATAAGCAAACAAAAAACTGTTAACCTTTTTGCTCAAGGCTTATAAATGGAAGGAGAATGGATTGATTTACTGTGCTATTCCATTACAGTATCTAAGCTGGAAACACAGTAAAAAGCTGTACCACCTGTATTACTTCATTAGCACAAGCCACATTTAAAGTCGAAGGAAAGTAAGAACACCTCTATCCCTAGGTTTGCACTAATCAAAATGCACATACATTTATTCATACATGCAAAAGAACTGGGCAAGAACTACTAAAACCAAACTGGTGGTGTAGGGTTTAATTTCTTCCATCTACAAGGATCTACAGTTATAAAAGTCTCATCTTCAAACTTTACAGTACATTACACATGAGCAAACACCCCACAGCTTTCCTCACTCTTCTGCATCTGTACAAGTCATATATAATAAAAAGTTTGTGTACAAGCATTGTTTTACACTTTAATACAGATGAAAATCCTGTTCTGTGGCACCTTGTTTCCTCCACAGTGCCTGCATGTTGCAGTAAGGAACACTCTGGATCCATGCTTCTGGGATCTTGAACTCAAGTAATACGGACTGATCAACAGGCCACAGCTTCCGCAACTCCAAGGTTTTAAATAATGAGAAGATCTACTGCTTGTTTGTATAACAATCAACAGTTTATTAATGGATATGGTGAAATTTTAGCTATCCACCAAAAGATGTGTAAAAAATTGTCATGAAAGTAAAAATAAATAAAGCCATTTTTAAAATCAGTCTTGTTTTACATCTTGGTTCAGAATGCAACATTTAACACAAAACTGTCATTGAAGTTTGAAAGAAGTCTACCGATATTCAAATTACAGCTTTTATGACAAATCTAATGAGAACTGAAACTGATTTGGTTTTAGGTTTAAAGACTTTCACATTCAAATACAGTGTCTCGTTTAGCACAATACTTCCTTTGACAGTGATGGGCAACAGTGATGACATATTGCTGTATTTTGACATAAGGCACTATGATATGAATATGCCATACACTTGCCTTATGTCACATATATCCATTGCTGACCAGTGACTTCTGTCAAATACAAAACGAAAAAGTTTCAGAATACAGTGCATTTTAATGAAGGACATCATGTGAAGTCTTCCAGCAAATGTTTTGAAGACGTTTTGAAATACAAGCCTACATTTTAACATAAGCTTTTGTCATGCTGCTTTTTTTCGCGACATCACTGGGGGGAATAGACTCATCATCCATCACTAAGTCCCAATACACATCCTCAACCATCCTGCTCTGTTCTATTGCAGTCACTGTTCTTGAGACAAACTTGACCCAGAAACTTTGTTCAATTTCTCCTACAAACGTGTGTACATTCACCGCAGTCATTCACTTTCAGGCTCCTTTTGTTTGGCACCTGTTAACAGAAGAGGAAAGCACGTGTAATTTCCTTACGCACATAGCACTCGGCTTCTGGAGAAGCACTGCTTGTTCTGAATGCTGGAGCTTTGCCCAACCACAGCACCAGAACCTTCGTACTGGAAACCATTTATAAAGAAGATACTGCAGGATTGCTAAATGCTAATGTGAAGTACAGCGAGGAAGGCATCAAGACCACTGTTGCATCTAACTTTACTGGCAAGTCTAAGTAACTTCTGGCAAGTTACTAATAGTGGACTTGCAGGATTCTCCCCAGTACAAGAATGTATTTTAAAAACCTTCAATCAAAAAGGCACAGCCCAGACCTGTCCATCAGCTTAGAAGCCAAGCTTAATCTTCATAACAGCTTCAAAAATTCAAGTCCTGCTTGAGAACAAGCTATGTAAGAATTCAGTTTAGCTACACTGTGTTGATGGACCTATTTTTCCTGGCTCAGAGGCAGATTCTGCTTACAGTAGGGATCTGAGAGACCTGTTCAGCAGGATTGCACAACACCTTGCTTCTTCTCTAAGTACTCAAACCAGCCACATGCTGGGCAATGACTGAACCATACTCTGAGTTTGGCTTGAGCATCCAGCTCTAGAGAGCAAGGACCTCTTGCCAGCAGCCTGGAGTTACTACTTGTATAATCAAACAGAGAAATACTTGTTAAATACATCCACTTTTTACACCACAACTGATACTCCCCCCAACCCAACCCTCCAGACTTTATAAACTAGATCTACAACACAGACATCCTCACCCTTACTTCATGAGACAAATTCCAACCTAAATTGCCCATGGAACTGCAATCTAATGCCCTGCTATTCCTAAGGATGTCTTCCCTCACTTTAGCATTTCCAGTGGCATAGTCCTGCCTTCTGTTGCTCTAACCCCTGTACTCCGTACTAAACTCATCTGTGAGCCAGTTTAGCGTGCCAAACAGATAAAACTCTGCAGTTTTTGCTGGCTCAGTTGCCTGCTAGATCAATGATTTAAAGCAGCCCACAGAGGGAACTCCTGAGTGTGGGTGCTGCCACACACACTGAATGCCAGAAGCAATGGCCCAGAGTATGGGAGCAGGAGCTACCCATTTTAGTAACAGAGCACTGTTATATCGGCTCATGGAGTTACAACTGTCCAAGTCACAAGTGTCCATGTAACTCCAGTATAACAAAGCTCTTTGTTTGTCAGTGTCCAGATCTATCTTTTCTGTCTAAACTCTACTCCATTAACAGTTATGTTCTACTCTCCTTGGATCCTTCTACCCTCTAGTCATGAGGCAAACTACCTCCTCTGCCTGGAGAGGCACAGTCTGTCCATCTTTACACCTCTCTCTTAGGACGGACATAAACCCCTCCATTATCTTTCTAGGCAATGAGCCCATCTGACCCAGGCTTTTTGGCTGATTTCTCAACCTGATCCATACCTTTCACAAAAAGCTGAGTTTCCTGCTCTTCCAGGTCATTAAAAGGAACCAGATGCACTGACATAATACCTCTGGCAGTATCACTGATCACTTTCTTTCAAGGTAGGAATCTTACTATTTCAAAAAGCTGCATTAACTTTTCTTAAATCTACAGAGGAGAAACACTTTTACATTATCATGTTATCTGTTAGTGCAAGTCAGACATCCCAGTTAAGATCATATTTAGAGTTTTTTTGAAGTACGTATCCAGTTCCATTCATTTAGTCTTGAGTTTGCGTTGTTTGGGTCTCTTTTGAGGCAAAACTGTAATCCTAAAGACATAATTTTTGTCTTCCTCACAAAAGAGGGCTTTGCTTTAGTTATTGTTACACTGAAGCCATTTATGTGGTCTCAGTTAAGTTACAATTAGGAACATTAAGCAGGTTAGTAACTTGGGGAAAACTTGAAAGAAAAAAAAAATCCAAATCCAATCCCAAACCAACCCCCCTCAACCAACTGACATAAATAAATAGCAGAAGTTAAATAAGTAAATAAATAAATAAGTAGCAGAAATAAACCCACTATTGGACTTTCTTGTTAAAATGAACCTGATCATGGTTAGTAATACACTAGAAATTTCTACTGGCACAATTCTGGTGGCCTGAGGTGCCATTTCCGATACAGATGTGCCAACCAAACCCTACAGTATAGCTGGACAGCTGCAGGGCTCCAAGGAGGTGGGCTTGCAGAGCTACTGGAAAGCACAGCCCTGTCCACATGAGGAGCACTTGGCCAGAGTACTGAAACTCAGGAAGGCGGAGAAGGCCCCCTGTTGTCTATTCAACTTCATCCCGTTTTTCCTGTTAAAACATTAACCAAGACCTTTTTCCTAAAAGGATACATGAACAGTAATGACATTCATGAAGCTTCTGCATGCATTTCTCAGGGAACGAAAGACAGACAATATTTTATCAGCTTTTTTCTGAAGAGAAATAAATATTGTATGTAACAACTATGACTAACCAGATACAAAGTTGAAAATCAAAAGCTTCTTATTGTCAAATACATTAAAACCAGCAGGGTGCACACACTTCCAAATGACTTATGGCAAAGGTCAGAAGGCAATGTTCATACCTGCAGGTGTGAGTACCAAAGCCTGTAGAATGTCAGAAAGTGAGATGATACCCACAATGCTATCTGCTTCATTCACTACCACCAAACGATGAACCTGCCAGAAGGGAAAATATTTTGAGAGGTATTTGCCTTAAAGTAACAGCTGAAGCAAAGAAAAACAACAGTAAATCTTAAAGCAACACAGTAAGAAGACAAGTAGAAAAAAACAAGTGGTTCAAAAATGTTAGCAATACCAATCTCACTCAGCAATACAAATAAGCTTGCCCTACATAAATGAAAACGAGTGCATGTTTAAAAAACACAGAGCTATCTGACATAGCAACAAAATCAGATTTGAAGTGACAGGTAAGCCAAGATCTAGGTCTTTAAAGTACTTCTGCTCTCAAAAACTGGCACTCACAGCAAACACTTTTCCTCAACTTTGAGACTCTGCCCAACTCCACCTGTGATCTCAAAGTAAGATACAGGAATAAAATGAGGCTTCCTTCTGAAAAAATACTTTCTCAGAGTGGTACAGCACTAAGATTTGTTGTACCTTGACATATCTAAGTTGGTTGTAGCTTAATTTTTCTTGTAGGGGTACATGACATAAAGTGTTTAAGACAAAAAAAAAATATGATTCAGCTTATCTGTGAAAGTTCACTGGAGAGTTAAAAATACAGACACAACTGGGAACATTTATCAAAACTAAGTCTATTTTCACATAATGATCTTATCCTTACAAACCTATTCCGTGAAACATTTTATACTAGAAAACTTTTGTCCCAGCTGTAGGCAAAGTAGGTGAATATTCCTATATCCTGAGTGAGACTCACTGACCAAAGCAGGCTACAACAGTGAAAGACAACTGCAGAACCAGAAAGTGTCTTAACATCATGCCTGGCACCAGAGCCTGGTGCAAGTGGGCAGAGTTTTATAACTCTTTATAACTCATCACAGCTGAATCAGCTCATAAGTGAGGGATCCTAAAAAGGGTGTTTGTCCAAAGCTGAGAGCCTACTACGTGTTTACTTTTTATCTAAGTGAATTCTCTCTTCACAATAAAGTTCAAGTATTCAGCTATAAGGGTAAAAAGAACGTTTCTCATCTTTTCACAGAGGTGACAGCAAGAAAGATACATCAGTCTCGATTTAACAGGTATGTTAATTTCTGGTTGAGGTCAATCACTTTGCTGCTAATCAGATACAAGAAAAGAGAAGCTCTGAATTTTTTGCAGAGTCATACCCACCTGACATTGGAAGGAAAGAAAAGAGGTGGGAACAGAGAAAAATACTGCTGCATTTTCTTTTTGATGAAAAAAGAAATTGTGGTTTTTTTTAGACATGGTTATTAGGTTTTGTATATGCACATATTTAATAACTTTATTCTTCTGTCAGTGTAATGAATTAAAGAAAAATGGACAGTGTATTTGTTTCATTTCCAGTAAGATCAAGCACTTGTCTGGCAGCTAAATATAGCTTGCAGTTTTGACTGACTCATTTTTACATATAATCTCGCTATGTTTAGACTGAACCAAAGGGTAGGAGTTGTTCTTAAAACCAAATGTCTACCACCTGTTAACATAGCAACAAAATTACCTAGAATTATTACATTTCAGGCAGAAGCTCAAGCAAATGCAGAAATTGCTTAATGGAGGTTCTACGGGGTTATTAACAAAGAGAAAGTTTCACTTGTATCAAGTACATGCATGGTTACAGCCCAGAAGCTAGGAAGGGTAATCTTGTAATTGAAAAAGCTGAAGCATTTAAATGGGGCTTATCACACTTCAAAGACAACTGAAGCTGGTAATACTGATTTTCTTCTGTAGAGAGATCTATCAGGGGAGGAAGACTTTGCATACTCCTTCACCTCCGTGTATAAGATCCCAGTACTAACAAACAAGATAAACAGTACCAAAAGCATAGAAAACATTAATTAGTTGTACCCATTAAATTTCCTGTACCACAGGCCAATCAATCTAGCTACAGGAATTGTCTGCAAAACTCACGTCAGGCTTGGAAGAAACATGATTCTTTCAAGAAATCTTTGCATTCAGTTCAGTTATGTCATAAAACAGAAATGCAAATAACTGAGTATTATTACAGATGTACTGTACAATACTTTGCACATCCCTGTAAGCACCTATAATTTAAGTCTATAAAGCAAACTGATACCCAAAACGTGTAGCTATGCAAAAATACATTCAACGAGTAACAAAAATAACTTCAGATAGATTTGTATTATTTATTAGTTTTGCAATACAACTTTTAACTTACAGTGAAGGTAAAAAGCCAACTCACCTCAGCTTTCACTATTCTATCCACAATGGTCTCCAGTGTTTCCAGCATACTACACTTTACAACACCTTCAAAATACTGAGAACGGTGCTGTAGGGCTTGCGTCACCGTGATATCTAGGTTATTATATGTTTTTTCAGCAGCAAGATTCTGGAAAAGCAAAACAAGAAGGCACATAACACATCTCAGTAATAAAGTACTTACCAGAGTAAATATTTTGGCATCAAGTAGATACATATTTCTGGTGCAAATTGAGTCTATTCCAAGTCACATATTAAACAAAGCAATTGCTCTTCAGCTTCATTTCCTGAGAACAGTCAAGCATGCAATTATGTTAACCCAGTCTGTCATACACCATGTAACTGATAAAACGGGTGATACGCATTAGGCCAGTGAAAATCTCCTTACTTTGCTGTCTGATATTTGGCTTGATGTCATTCATCCCGATTTTGCCATGAGTAGAAAAATATAAGAAGACGAAGTTGCACAGATTTTAGAATATACAGTATATATTTTAAGAATATGCATATTTTGTTGTTGTTTTTCCATAGGATAGGGGAGAACACCAACTGCTCTGAACACCACCCATGAAGTAGATCTCAGTTAAGAACTAGGAAGAAAGCCAATTAAAGGTTTTCATCACCTCTCATTTGTGGGCTCAAACTCCCTCTCCTGGACTAAACTGGCACTGCCATTTAATAACTATACATTTCAGTAAGTACTGTAAAAAAAAATCATAAATGAAAACCCACTACCACCACTAAAAGTAATAAAATTAGAAAACTTTGAAAGCTGACAAGGTCAACTTTCATTTTAAGAACAGGAATATGCTTGCAACAAGAGGACTTTGTCCAGACCAGCAAAAGCTTTTTCTTGTAGGTGAGACCGTTGCAGTATTTTGATAGTGTTGGTGCATCCTGGCCTACTGATTTTGCATACTCAAGCACTGAAGGAATAACGAAAAAAGGAAAAAAAAAAAAAAAAGAAAACACTGGACAAATCAATGAAATTCATTTTTGGCTAGAATATACTGTGATTGGTCAGGTTTTTGGATTGAATTACTCTGAACATAACAAGATCAGTTGCAGATGATCATGAAGACACAAGCATGTTTAGTTAACTCATTTAACTAATTCCTAATGAAGACAGTAGGAAAACATAAAAAGCCTCTGCAAACTGAGATCACCCTACACACAATGAACATTAACCTAAAGCTATTTCTGTACCATCACACCATTTCCAAGTTTCTCCTATCAAAAATATGAAAATGAATTCAGAAGTATTAAATTATCTATCAAGTTAGCCAGCTGTATATAGAGGCATGGCTTAAACCCCTGATGTAACTAAGCATATTAGCCACATGGCTTAAAGACAGAAATCACCAGCTGAATCTTGCAAATTCTATATTTATTGGAAGATCAGTTTATACATCTCACATATTTCCCCCTTCCCTTCTTTTAAAGCCTGCAGATCAGGCTGAAGCAGACAGATGATAAAATTAGAAGCCTTAGAGATTATTATCTTCTAAGATTAGAATCTTTTCCCTCCCATGTAATAAGCAGACTACTCTACATGAGAAAGATCTTGAATAATCAGTAGATGCCCTAACTCTTTCCCATGTTACTAGCTGTGAGCAAACAATTATATCCTGAAGCCTTTGTGATTCTGTGTCCCTTCCCAGATCCCAATACATAAATGCTTCTAAAGAAGTGATCAAGCATCTCTAAAAAACCTACAACTTCTGTTGCCTGTCACTTAAAGTCAGAAAATAAGTGAAAAACATAAGGAACCCTCTTCCTTTTGGTGCCTTTCTGAAAAGGAATGGGAAATAGAGGAGAACCGTCCTGCCTCAAAGTCTAACACAGCTATAAAATAAGTGGAAACACTGAATCCACCAACTGTGAAATGTCATTGTCTTTGATACATTAGATCACTCCCACTGCAGCTACCACCTATTCACTAACCAGCTTTTATGGCAGAACAAGATCTTACAGAGCAGAAAATCTCTAAGATTAAGAAGACAAACACCTAGAAAAGAAGGCAAGGACAGCAACATGAAATTTTCAGCATTAGGAGCACTGTTCGCAGGTAAAGACATTACAAGGTTGAAGTATTTCCATTTGGGACTATTCTTCATTTTTCTGAAAGCATTCTACACAGCATTTCAGCCATCAGGATTCTTCATTAGTACACTAGGAGGCTGGGCACTTCAGTGTCTGAAAAATAATGTAGCTATCAGAAGGCAGCTGCATTCAGCTGGGAGAGGACAGGAATAAAAAAAGCCCTAAATATGTTTTTCAAGATCACAAGACTAGAAGAGCCCAGGCTCCCCGAGGCTGGCAAATTATGGCATGAATCTGACTAAGCTGCTGCACTCCTGAGGGAAACCGGAATTCCCACCAGAAACAGTGGCCTGAATTATATCTAACCCATAAGGGAATACAGATGCAATCCTCTGGAGTCAGACTCACACAAAAGAATGAGCCAAGTACATTCACTGGGAAGGTCAAGTTGTAGGAAATACTCAGACTGCTTGGAGAAATCTGCATTCTCTTTGAAAGCAGAACATGGAATGGCAGTGGCCAGGAATGGAAAATCCTAACTCAAAAATAGAAACAAGGATAAAAAGCCTATGCCCTCTTTTTGTAGGAGTACAGCCAGATCTAATTTTGGGTAACAACCAGAGCAGTAGATGCCTGTGTGCAAGTACTATTACAAGGAGAGCCTAATTAATAATCATAATAATAATAATGCTGTTCAGGGTGAATTGAGTATGTTTTATTTCATTTAACTAAAGCCTGAGGAACAAAATAGCCAAAATTTACATATTAACAAATTAATTTACAAATGCTTACTGCATATAAAACATTTAATAGAATTTAAGAGATATACTTACTATTACATCAAATTTGGAATAAATATCTACAACTTTTCCTAAAAAGAAAACCAAAACTTAGTAAAGTGCTTGAAATACAAAATTAGTTTTCTTGCTTCCTGCTTTCATTTGTTATTTTATAATTACAGAAAAAAGACACATCAAGAACCTTCCTCCCACCTCCCCCCCAAAAACCCTACCAAACCATGAAGTGCTTCCTACAAGCCTATCAACCTACATCCTGCGTAAATATTTCTTTATATTCTCTTTTGCCCCTTACCCTCCCATTGCCTTTTTTTATCCTGTTTCCTCTTCACCACCCAGCCCAACATCAGTCCAGGGTTCAGCACCGTTTATCTTACCACGCTTTTGTATAGAGAAGACCCAACACACACCTGACTCATCCACAACAGGTAATGCCGATATCCTTCTGTCTACAAATATATTCAAGGCTTTAATGATAGGAGTGTCTGGATGTATGAAGGCAATGTTGTGGTAAGTTCCTATTCCAAGTTCATCCAGATTCTTCTTCATAAAGGCAGGCTTTGGCATCTCTGACATCTAGGAAAGTCAGAATTACTGTATTTACAGAGCAGTTTTCTACAGCCACCATTTTTCTACACCTACTATGCTTCCATATAATTGGTATGTATATTAGGAAATTCGTATTCGCTCATCCATCTACAGACTCCAAATGATTGTTACAGACCCTTACAGTAATCTGCTACGAAATTAACGCAAAGCCAAAACAAGCTCACAGATGGAAGCAGTATTTCTGTTCAAAGCTGCTCTAAATTAAGACTATATTACTACATTTTCTCATTTATTTATTTTTGTAGTAACCCATCGCTAAAAGCTTTTGATCCCAAGGTATGTTATTCCCACTGGAACTGGAGAGAGGTGACAGCTAGACACACTATACTGAATGCTTACTTAGCAATCTTTTTGATTCATTGTGCTTCCTGTCTATTCCTGTGACTAATGTAAGCGACAGTGAGCCATGATAATCTCATCTCTGGGAGACAATTCATTTTTCTTTTCATGAAAACAAGCTTATGAAGCTGGGCAGATCTTCCAGAAAGGACAGCAAATTACTCAGTAGCCAAAAGAAGTCCTTGCTGCTTAGGTTTCTTTAAATGACTAAAAGAAAATAAAGGCAATGTACAGGTCCTACATCAAGCTCAAATTTCTCTGTTATCAAAAGGGGTATGCACAGGCACAATTAATATGGAATTTTATCAAGAAGTTTCTGTACTAAGATTTAAATTACTTATCGTTAAAGAGGTCTACTGGGGGAGAAAATACATTAAACAAAGCGTAACTTTAAATACTTACAAAAAGCTGGAGGAACTTGAGGATTCTTTTATGGGTAAGTATATAAAGTGCATTTCCACTGACTGGATCTATAACTGGCAATCTGTGGATTTTGTTTTTGATCAATGAATATACAGCATCAAAAAGGCTGAGGGGAAAAACATTTTTTTAAATAATTAATTCTAGCTGGCAATTAGTAATGTCAAGTGATATACACACAGGTTTACAAGCCCCCCATGAACTACATATGATGAGTACTTAACTTACATTATCGTTAATGTTAAAGAAAACACTAATTAAGGGATTTCAAATTAACTTTTGCAGCTGGTTAAAACACATCAACAACAATATGCTCATGAACATCTAAAACCAGTAAGAAGGTGTGACTCAAAGTGACTTTTTATGGTAGAAAGTAGTGAAGAAATATCTCCTCCCAAGTATAAACTGTTTTTCAGTGGGTGCTGTGCTCACAGTATCCCTGCACTCAGAATAGACTATTTCTGTTCAGTGACAGTAAATGAAAAAGTGTTCTTGCTCTTCCTAGAAAATGTTACAGAAGTTTGAGACTGAGATGTGTTAAGTGCATTTTTATGGATACATGTATCTATGCAATTAAGCCAAAACAATTATCTAGTAATTTCACTAAATTATTATTGAGGACTGGCAAAAAGCTATTCTCACGGTATCCAAAACATTCCTCCAGACACTGCGGACGACAATTTTGCAGTACTCCAACCTGTCCAAGTCTGCTCTTTGTGCATGTAACACTTTTCTTTCTCCCTTCAGTCCCAGTAAGACTATGATAAAATATCTGACACCAATTTCAATATATTAGTAAAAAGTAAAGTCAGTAACACTTCAATAAACACCTACTTGCTGAACTAGGCTTCTTCCTGTACACAATAAACTTTATGTTCCAAGTCCATGGGGATGACTATCTCCATTTGATATACTTTGAGTCAAGACTCCCACCACTGCACTGTTGATTCTACTCTTGGAGTAAGTATTCAGCTACCACTAAGTGCTGCAGTCTGAGTGTCACAGAAACAAACCCCATTTCTGGATCAGTTCTAAACTGACTTGCTGCACTCATTTATACATGTTCTACTGCATCTTCTTTATTGCAATACTTATCTTGCTGCACCTTTGATTGAAAACAACATGATTTTTTTGTCTTCTTTGCAACCAGTTACCATTCAAAATATCAAAATACATTCCTTATTGACTTAATTGAATGACTAATTCATGACTTAATGGCAATTCTACTACACCTACTACTACTTACAATGGCATTCTACTACATCTACTACATGACGATACAGCATATCATTAGTTCTGGTGAAAAGTTCCCTTCACCAGTTTCCTGTAGTAGGGCATAAGCAATCTTATTCCACTAACTGAAAGCAAGAATTGCTAAAGAGTGAAGTTTTAAGTAGTACTTAAGCTGTTAAGTGATCAACTAAAGCTCTCAAGTTACCTTTGGTAAATAAGGTATAATGGCAATTCATAAAACTGTTTCTTTCAAATTCCATCAAGAAAAGAACAGTCACGTATATTTTAAGGAACCCAAAGTAGTAGCAGAGCAAAACAAGACACACATATCTTTCCTTTAGTTAAAGAAAGTTACTCACATTGACAAATAAAAGACACAAGTTTAACTGAAAATTATTTTTGGGTAATTAAAAAAAGGTCCTCACAACAAAAAAATGCTCCTTTTCTCATCTTCTTGATCATAATAATAGAAGTCAGTCTTTTGTACTCCAGTTTACAACATTGTTTCTTATTATATAAAGAAGTCTTAAATTCAATATTGAGATGGGAGTTAGTTTTTTTCAAGTTAAGCAGACTGAAAAGCACAATCCTACCTTGCATCTGGGGAGATGTTCACTAAAGGTTTAAACGTCTCTTGTAAATAAAGCTCTGTGTATAGAAAATTAATAGACCATTACCACTTTATATGAAAACACTAGCTTTTTTATGAAAGCATTTTATGAATTCATTCATACAAAGTTAAATGGAAGAGAGGCAGCAATATATACAGTTCTACCGCTCAAGGACATTCCTCTACATTAAGACAGCAGAAATTTTAAGTGAGCCTAAACTGGTTACCACCAGGGGTCACTGCAACAACAGCAGATAATTCTTTACCAGCTCGTTTTGTGTGAGCATCTGCTGCATGGAGTACTGTGTGTTACTTCACAGCAGTCTATTTTTAACGTTAAGCTTCCTCCCTGCATTCAGCACTTCTGTTCACACCCAGCAGGTTGTATGAATTTCTAGTTGGCGTTTACTATTTCTGCTTTCATTAAAAAGTGTGTGGCGAGACAAGCTAAGCCTATGGTTAATTAAAAATCCGCTATACTGAAAAACACTGGAACATACCAAATTATAAACCAAATAGTAAATATCCTTACCCCTCCAGGTTTCTATCTTGTGCTCCTCCAATTCATAAATCTGAACCTACAATGGGTAGATGGAAAATTGAGCTTGAATTTTAATTTTAAATCCAACATCATTAGCAGTACTATAAATACCTGAATAATATCCTTACAGTTCATTGCAGGCAACATAACAGGGTAAGCAAGAACAGTCTAGAATAACATTTCTTGGCAGTAACAAGAAGGGGTGTAATCCGGCTCAATGCAGAGTACCACACTGGACCTGTCGTTTCAGGGTACAGGGAAGATCTTTCACCTGCCCAGGTTTGTAGCCTAGGCCTCTTCTAGACTCAAAGCCATCCCTGCAGTAATCTATCTCATCTTAAAACAAGCACACTAGAGTAAGCCTGATGATTCCTCACACCCCCAGATCAGTAAAAGCTTAGTACTCTGATTAAATTAATGGCATCTGACAAGCATTTCTCTATGAATTGTGAATATTAACATCAGCTAACATATCAGATGTTTGCTTCATCCCACTGTTCCCGATTATTTCTTTTTCCCCATTAAAATACAGCATATCTGTTTTAATTGGTAGAGGGAGAATTGTGACATGACGGGAACAAGAAAGGGATGTAAATGTTTGTATGAACATTCAAGCTAGAGAATTTCATCAACTGCCTGCCAATGGGAATTTTAAATTACAGATAATTGAAGTCAACAGATCTCCGAGTGATTGTGTAATTTGGCCAGGTGACAAAAATATCTGCATACATTTAACTAGTTTAACTTGTTTACACCATCACTCCAAGAACAGAGTAACCTTTTCAGGCTTTCTAAGTCTCTGTAAGATAGCATTCTGCTTAACTGCACATACTCCTTTTGGTATAGCTCTATCACAGTTACAAGACAAAATGATTATATGTAAACATGCAAACCATGCATAGTTACATACTTGTTTTTCAAACACAATAACATTTTATTGTAACTTAGACACCCTCCCCAAATGCTTTTTGATATTTATATAGAGTTCCGATTACTACTGAAGTATGTGCTTTGAAACAACCTGAGCACTAATACATACAGCGATTAATAATCAAGTATTTTTCTTCCTACTTTTTACATCACACCTCTTTTTAGGAAGTATGCTAAGCCAGGTCATTCATCCCAAATGCATTATTCATTAGTTGCAACACTAAGTGGAACCAAAACAAAGGCTATCATTATGGAAAGCACTACACAAAATGTAGTAAGTGGTTGCACTCATTAAGGAAATTCCTCAACCAAACTCATAGGACTTTCGTGGCTAAAAACCTGGGAACTGAACCCAGCTGTTCAGATACTATTCCACTACCTTGTTCACAAAGCCATCTTCCCTTTCAAAAAGCCCTTGCAGCTGGTATACCCACGTCACATCTAAGCTTCTAAAGACTTAAGTAACAGCAACAACCATAATCAATCTTTCAGATTGATATTTCTGTCTCTGTACTGTATAGCAAATAGAAGTGTAGCTTAGTATCATACTTACCATTGGAGATTTATAGTATCTATGCAGTATGTTAATGAAATCTGTAATTGTTAACATTCCTGTAACAAGTGATATATGAATAAAAAAAGGTTTTTCAGATATATATGCTTAACACAGTATTTAGATTCACAATATACAATTTAATAAATATTAAATCCATGTAACATACTATTTGTATTGGACTAATTCAACAGTGGAATTCTGAAACTATGTATATTCTCTTTTACACTGATACTTCAGAATAGAAACACAAGTCTGAATTAACATTCAAAATCATAACCTATGTGCTTTTCCTCCTCTTTCAATCTGACAAGAAATCCTTGAATCCAGACTGTATTCACCCCCAAAAAGCATGGAAAGAAAAGAGGGTTTAGAACATCTTTAAGAGGTTGGAGGGCAATCCTTGCCTTTCATTTTCTTTTAGAATTAGGCATTCCCATTCTGTACATGGCAAGTCAGAGTCTCAGACTCAAGTGAAGGAACAATATAATCCATTTTGTTGAATATTACTTATTCAAGACCTTCCTTCAATCATTTCCATGGTAAACCTAATGTCTGTACTGATACACGACTTTTTTAATGAGGGGAAAAAAAAAAAGAGACACATAGTACACACATTTTAACTACCACCACCAAACTATGTAAAATAATATTGATGATTAATTTAGTTACCTGAAAGCATTAATCATTTTTGAGCCTTCTCAGTGCACTTCACTGAGAAAGCACAGAGAACGGCATGCCTGTATCACATGTGTATTAAGATACTGTAACATTAAATTCTTCTTTTTACAGTTCCTATTTTCAAATTTCCTTTTTGTGTCGGTCACCTTTATTTTTAGGTAAAGTGACACACACGTACTAGAGACCAGAGTTCAGAAGGTCAGGACCTGAAAGAACCTTCATGATTTTCCAAGCACAGCAACACTATGACAGCTGGCAACATTTCACTCCTTACAAGGAGGAAAAAGAAACCCTCTTTGCCAGCGTGTCTCCAGGACGTTAGACAATGGCTGGCCTGTGGCCACCTTCTGCAACAGTAAAGCACCTTGGAAATTAAAGTGATCCTGAATAAGGTTAGAACTACTCACCTACAAAACTCTGTTTTTTACTCTCCCACAGTGGAGCTGCTCTTACACCATTTGCCACCAAGGCAAAAAAGGCTTTCTTTACCTGCAAGAAGAATAAGCAACTGAACAAATCTTTGCTTGTAGTTTAGCATACCAGACACCAACAGCATTTCCCCAGCTACTAGGAGAAATGAAAAATGCAGTATAAACAGGTAGCTTGTATTCAGAACAGAACAAAAACCATAAACACCAACCAAAACCCCTAAGCCTTTTACTTCTAAAATGGTTTAAAAGCTTAGAAAATAAGCTTAGCAAAGCCAGATCGACTTTTGTTTCATTACCTGAATACTGTGTGTGAAAGCCTCTGATGAAAAAATAAAAAAGAGACAGCTAAAAATATATGCTGGCTAAACTCAACTTTATTCCTGTTTGATTTTATCCATAAACGTTATTACACCCACCCCCACCAAATTATGACATTGAATAGATCTGTAATGAACATAATTATCACAAGTGTCCAGTTTAAGGATATAGCTTAACAGCTGAAGACTGTACTAAATTCTAGTTAACATTCACTATGGCCACAGTTGTGTAAAAGACTTGGTCTCATTTTCTCTCCAGCTTTTAGGCTCACAATCCACACACCTGATTTTAAACAAGCAAAAGTTAAAATGAGCAGTTATCCTGTTTTCCTGTTAAGGAAATACAACCAAGTACTTTCATTTTTTTTAAACGAATTAACCCTCCCCAACTTCTGAAGCAGAGTTTATAAAATTATAGTGTCATTCCCAAAAGAAAAGAAAAACTTCCCTGGGAACACTAGTTCTTTGAGGCATGAAGCTGTCAGGCTGTAGCACATCTTGAAACCCTGATCTCTTGGTGATATGCTTCAGCATGTTATCATTCCTGTCCTGCCCACACACATCTAAATAGTCTTCGTATGGAAGACACTACAAAGAAGTGATGGGTCTTGTCCAGGTCTTGACCTGGCACAAAACTAGGACACAGCCAGTCTGTATCTCTACATGCATGAAATCAGTCCTCAGTCCAAATTACACAGAAGTAGCAATTGCTTGACTGCAGTTTGAGCAGACCAGGATTACACAGTGGCATCTTAAGTGCCTCCTTTATGTGCCAAGCGGCTCCTCTTCACAACAGATTCAGGAATAAAAGGGTTCCACAATGGAATCAGCATCCAAAAAGTAGCATCTAATCAAAAATGTAGGTAGGAAGTAAGTCAGCCATTGTTAGCTACCACATCCTTGGAAAAGTGTGCAAAGCTATCCAAATGATATCCAGTGTCGTGATATTAGAGAGAACCTCCGTTTAGACTCTTAGTGCTATCCTGTAGCAGTTTAAATATCTAAAGTTAGTAAGACTTCTGCCCTGCTCCAGAACACATCACCTCCATCTACACCTCAGTAATTAGCAGTGAATGTTTCAAACTAACTCCAATCTTTAAGATCAGACTTTTGAAAGCAATCCATGTTTCTTGCTACCTCTATGCAGCCCAAATGCTTCCTCTGTAAACACGAGAAGCAAATCTGTCCTCCTGACCTCAGCAAATGGCAGCTACCAAAGCTGCCTCCTGACTTCACAGATACTTATGCTATTATCACCAATGAACAGTAATAATGATCTGCTTAATAACCACCCCCCCAAACTGTATTAAAACTGAAAAAGCCACATGGGGAAAGAAAATACACATCATGTGGTATTTATCTAGAAAACGGTTAAATAGAAAGGTAGCAGAGGTTTCAGCCACCTCAGTGACACGAGGACGAGTCAGGTAAAACAAACATTACCAAATCTATCACAGGAGCACGCTAACTCATAAGGAAGACTGAAACCACAGAGAAACCCTCCAGGCAGACAGATGATGTGTTCTTACATAACAGCATCACACTTACAGTTAATGCAGTGAGCTATTTGGGGAGCAGATACGAATAGAGTTCACACAGAATAACTCCACCTTAGGGCAAAGTTATTTCTAACCATTCATCATCAAAAAGAGAGGCACGTACACTTAAACTGCCTGAAACTGAGAGCTTTCACCTCTGTTATCTTTCAATAATACTAGCTATCACACAAGTTAACAGTTACAGCCAACTTATGCCCCAAGTCTTCCACAGGAGTAAGATGTTCAAGCTGCATCAGAGCAAGAAGGTAACAGCTAATCTATTAAAGCCCAGGGGAAAACAGCTTTCTTCCAGATAGCAATCATGCAACAAAACTCTGAGCAAGTTCACAAACTCTGTAACTGATAACCCAGAAAAGAAGCATGCTCACAGCAGAAAATACATGGGAGCCAAATACAGCACTTCAAGGCAGCCTCCGAAGTCTTGTTACTGCTACTTCTCAGACACAGCGGCAGCAAAAAACACCGCCTAGCACAATGTCCAGATGGGTGAGATGGTAAAACTGAGGTATTAAGACTCAGAAATTATACTTCAAGAGAGACAATTCAAAGATATACTAAGCAAGAAGCTGAGCTTGTAGGCAATCCAGAAGGAAAATAAACTGTCAAAGGATCAGTCTTGCCCTGATTCTGTTTATTTGCAAGTTATTTGTCTCAAAGAACCTCAGGAATCTTCTGTTAGATGCCATCTTGTTTAGCTTTAAAAGACAGGAAAACCTGAGGACTGATGAACAGCTAGAGCTACTGAGATAGCTCAACCTTAAATACTTCATAAAGGACAATGAGTTCAGCTTGGGCATTAGGACATTAAATATTTGACGTCATAAATCACCCAATCACCAGCCCTCTGGGCTGTCCTCATGGACCACAGCTTAAGTGACTATTCCTATTGCTTGCTTCAGTTTTATAGCAGAAAGTGTTGTACAGTTAGCTTTTAAATAAAAGAACAACACCATCCATTCTTAATACTTGTCTCTTATTTAAGTAAGGTAATTACAAAGCAAAAAAACAACTACTTCTTATTTGCTAAAACTGCTTGCAAGCACAAACATCCACTCACTCTTTCCTTTAGTTTATGCGGTTTACCAACTTCAGTTGCCCAAAGTACTGCTTGGTGGCCAGCCAAAGATCTGGAGTGTGAAGCTGGGCTTCCGTCCAGGACATTTAGATGTTTCACTGATGTTCATACAGAAAATGCCACAAGGACTTTTCTTTCAGATTATGTATAGTCCGTAGCCTTTTAAGATTTCCTGATCTTGAGTGTTGGACTGGCCTGACCTTCACAAAATCATTGTTTGTCAGGCACATCCCATAGATCACTGCTGTTCAACACCATGTGCAAACAGTCTTTTAACAAAGCACTTTTGTTCCTATTAACCATGTAGTGGTCCCAAGGAATACAATGAACCATTAAAAATGGGACCTATATGCCCAAATTTAGAGGTTGTTCTGACAGATGTGCTGAACTTGCATATTCACATCTCTTCATAGCCAAGCAGGGAAAACTGTCATTTCTGTGGCATCACTCACCAGCCTTTGACAGAGTTGAAGTTGTACCCACAGATGCCATTTTCCCCCTCACTGACTACAAGATGTCTACACGAGGATGAGGAATCCTACTTGATGTGACTACTTGTCTTCTCAACATTTTGTCCTTTAACTAGATGGGTCATATTCTAGCAAAGGAAAACAGAAACTGAAATCCTACATGTACCATAAATCACCTCAACAACAGGTGCTATTGCACCACAGCGAGCCAAACAGGAACAAGCTTTTCTTACTACAGGAACTCGTTACACCAACTGTGAATAGGCTGAATAGAACAGGCTAATTCAGGTTAAACAGGACTTATGAAGGCCAGAGCACTCAAATATTTCCACTGTAAGTCTTAAGAAGGATGTAGCTTCTTCCAACTAACAGCTGTTAACAAGAACAACCAAGTCAGACCCATACATAGGAAGGCCTGTTTTTCATGTAGTAAAACATTTGGCAAACCTAGTCTTTTACAGTTAGCAAGCTCCAGTTGCTTGATTACTGGGCAGTGACACCAGAAATGGTGGCAAGAGATAGAAGGTTTCACCAGACTACAGAAAAACTCTTTCCTTGATGACAGTAAACACAGAAAGGGACACTCCTCATTATGATATACCAGACCAGTAATCTCACAAGCCCTCGTGGAAATGCTCTCTCAAGTAAACATCTGTGAAAAAGGGAAGCATCCGAAAGGAAAAGTCAGGACAAGCTTATTTCCAAGAATCCAGCAAGCTGAATTTGTTTTACCTACCACTATGTCATGAAAACTAACTACATGCATAAGTGATCAGTGGGTTTCAAACTTGTCTGACAGGACTGCCCCATAAGGTAAGGAGGGTGACTGCTGCTGTTGCAATCACTTGTTTCATTTGCCTCGAAAAAAGGATCTTGTCTTGAAAACATTGAGAGAGAAGAGCTGTGAGCTTCTCATGCCAAAGGGTCAGTGCTGAGAGAGTAAAAAAAATGCAACTGTATTGGAAGACACAGAGCACCATTGTCTCAATGCCAAAGTTAACTTAGAAATGCTGGAAGGTAACAGAAATAAGAAACATAGTTATGAAACACCTTCAGATATGCCACTACCAAAGCAAGAGGATGATGCAGAGGACAGTAGTCTGGACAGTGTGAAAAGATCTGCCAGAACTTCTGGTATGGCTGCCATCCAAGGGCAAGATGATAAATGTGTACATTTCTTGTATCTACTTTCACTGTAAACCAACACCAGGGCATTAGCTTCACTTGCCTGAAAAGCCCCTAATGTTATCCCAAGAAATGTCTTGTGTCAATGATTTGAAGGGCTACAAAACTTCAAAGGCAACTCAAGCCTCAGAAAATTCATATGCGGACCACAACATCAAAACCAAACCAAACCAAACCTTTCAGGCAATCACTGAGAAAAAAACCCTTCCTAGCATAACAAAGTTTTAGAAGTTGTTGAAATAAATTTGCAAGAAGGCAGCATTCAGTGTTAGCAAATCGGGTAAGAGCAGCTGAAGTAGTACTGTAGAAAGTTAAACTCATATACCTACATGCTTTAAGTGTGGAACAGCAAGGCATGAGTCCATTGTAAAGGGGAAAAAGCTTTCAATTTTCAAAGGGTAACAACATACATATCTTCACAATATGAGCAAATATGCTAAAGTTTCTCCAGA